ACAGGAAAGAGGGGAAAGAATATCAAATAGAATGAGGGGAGAGGGAAGGGAAGGAGGAGGGAGGCGAATGAAGAGAGGGGGGGGAGGAAGGAGGAAAGGAGGCGAATGAGAGAGGAGGAGGGGGAGGAAAGGAGGAGGGAGGAGAGGGGGGAGGGAGGGAAGGAGGAAAGGAGGCGAATGAGGAGAGGAGGAGGGGAAGAAAAGGAGGAGAGTGAGGAGAGGGGGGAGGGGAGAAGGAGAAGGGAGGCGAATGAGGAGAGGAGGAGGGGAGAGAAGGGAGGAAGGGAGGCGAATGAGGAGAGGGTAGGGAAGGAAGGGAGGAAGGGAGGCGAATGGGGAGGGGGGGAGGGAGGTTGTAGGAGGCTATGAGCCAAGAAGTTCGTTCAAGGGAGATCGAGCGCAAGAAGGGAGGAAGAGGAAGAGGGGATGGGAGTAAAGAGATAGGGAGGAGAAAGGGAGAACGACGAAAAAGAGAGTGGAGAGAAGAGAGAAGAAGGGTGAAAGGGATAGGTAAGAGACGGAAGAGAAAGGTGGAGTGAGAAGAGTAAGTGGAAGAAATAAGATGAAGTAGAAAGGGAGAAAGGACATAGAATGAGAGAAAGGAGAGAAATGAGGGAGAAGAAAGGAGGGGGGAAAGAGGGGGGGGTGAAATGAGAAGGAAGAGCTGTAGAGAGACATGAGAGAGGGGGAGGGAGAAGGAGAGAGAAATGAGAGGAGTAGAGGAAAGAAGAGGAGATGAGCGAAAGGAGGAAAGAGGAAAGAGAGAGTAAAAGAAACAAGAGGGAGGGGAAAAGGGAAAAGAGAGAGGGGGGAGTGGGAGAGGAGAGAGGAGAGAGAGGAGAAGGAGAGGGAGAGGAGGAGGAAGAGAAGAGAGGAGAGGGGAGATGGAAGAGAGGGGAAAGGAGGTGGAGTCGTGAAGATCCTCGACCCTCAAGCACCAACTTGAAAGAAGTCGATAGTTTCTGCTCCTCCTTGAAGGACTTTGACCTCGTAATTCCAAAGAAGAAAAACTCAAGGTCGAGATAAAAAAAATACATATAAATTCATGGTCAAAAATAAGAACAAGAGAAAGTAAAAGCCAGAGAGAGAGAGAGAGAGAGAAGAGAGAGATGAGAGAGAGAGAGAGAGAGAGAGAGAGAGAGAGAGAGAGAGAGAGAGAGAGAGAGAGAGAGAGAGAGAGAGAGAGAGAGAGAGAGAGAGAGAGAGAGAGAGAGAGAGAGAGAGACAGACAGACAGACAGACAACACACACACACACCACACACACACACACACACACACACACCACACACACACACAGAGCGAGAGAGAGAGCGAGAGCGAGAGAGCGAGAGAGAGAGAGAGAGAGAGAGAGAGAAGAGAGAGAGAGAGAGAGAGAGAGAGAGAGAGAGAGAGAGAGAGAAGAGAGAGAGAGAGAGAGAAGAGAGAGAGAGAGAGAAAGAAGAGAGAGAGAGAGAGAGAGAGAGAGGAAGAGAGAGAAGCCATTTTCCCCAACAAAAAAAAGGAAATAATAAAGAAGGAAGAGAGAAAAACGTACAATCAACCACATATGAGCAACATAAACATCAATTTGTCTAGAGGCAGTTGTGGGAGAGTTGTAATCAATATCCAAGAACGAAACTGATTACAAACTTACATAATGTGACGACCGAGTAGGTTTAGTATATCATCCGAGTTACTTATAACTTTTAATTTCTACTTAAAACTTTTTTGCTGGGGACAATGACATCCAAATAATTCGACATAAAAAATAAAATCTTGATATATGATATGAGACAGGTCTTAGTTTCTTCATGAAGTAAATCACGTTTGGGTGAGTCTCCTTCCCCATAAATGAAGCATTTACTCATTAACTTGTGAATAATTGCAAGTCAATCTATTAATATCAAATTTCATACACTGACTGTAAGTAATCTATGTTTCCTAGTGTACACTAGATTCAGTAGTGGTAATCATAGTGATAATAAGAGTAATGGTAATCATAGTGATAATAACGAAGTGCTGATAATAAAAATGATAATGATGATGATGATGAGGTTAATGATGATTACAGTGCTGATCATGATGGTGATAATAAAAGAACAACAACGACAGTAATATGATGCTGATGACAATAAGAGTATTAATGAAAGTAATAATAGTAATAGCAAAAATATTGAGAATAAAAACAAACAATATCGATAACAATGATAATTATAGCAATGATCATACTAGTGCTAATAAATACAATAATAAGAACAACAATAAGGACAATGATAATGATAGCAATATTACTACTACGTCTACTACTACTACTAATGATAATGATAATACTATTACGACTACTACTACTATCAACAATAATCAAAAACAATATCAATTATCATAACTATTAAGAATATTAAAATAAAGATGACAATAATGATAAATTTGATAGTAATAGATAAAATAATGATGATGATAACAACAAATATAATAATGATAAAACAATGCAAATAACAATAACAATGATAATAAAATCA